ATTGAGTGGCAATACTTTACTAACAGTAGCAAAAATACATACTGCAGTATATATCCAACTCTTCCATCGACTCCTCTAAGTGACAGAAGTCCCATCTCTCGGAAAATTTATACTATGTACGTTAGATGCCTTTTTGGATATGCTACAGTAAATGCTTACTTATATAAAATAAAACTTTCTGAAACTGATATATGTGAATGTAATGGCAGTTATGACGATCTAAACCACCGGATGTTTCAATGTCGGTATAATCAAGAAGCCATAAAATTTTTATTTCAAGCCATCTCTCAAGAAAAAATCATTTTGCCGCAGAACGTTGCTTCTATTATGTATTTAGGTAGTCGAAATTCAACTATAAGATCAAGATTCAATCTAAACTGCCCTGTTCAGTGTTGTTGTGTGAATCTGAAATGGTAGGACCTTAGTTGTTGTATTTCCCATTGTCTTTCCTTTTATGTCTTTTACCTTTAACCGTTGCCTGTATTGTTTGTGTTACAAAAAAGTCGCTATGAAGGGCACCTTAGCGTGAAGCGTGTGTTCCTGTTCAATCCTTTTTGTATAGTCACATAATAGTGTTTTTAATGGGAAGGTTACGAAATTGAGTGAATGTGGTGCGAATGAACGAACGGTTAGGAAATTGTTATGAATTTGAAGGATTGTTTTTATGTATTCTATATTCTTATACCTATATTGTCTGGCTAAATAGGTCTTGTACCTAAGGCCAAAAAAAAACTGCTATCTACTGAATTTATTGTTTTCGAATCAAAAGTTCATTTTGGATTCATTTTTGGGATTTTCTTTTCCAACATTTTAAATTGAAAACAACAAAAACTGACTAAAAAGTGTAAAGTGTAATACTTCCCTTAATCATGTTTGTGAGCAGTGGCGGGCCCAGAAATTTTTGTCGGGGGGGTCATGATTCTTGAGGGTGATATTGATGTAGGATTTAGATTTTTGCACCGTTAAGATTGATAGGATTTGTTGTAAAATAGTTATTTTATGTAATATATTAAACCAATGAGAAGTTTTTAAAATCCAAATACCCAACTGGTGCAAAAAAGAGTACAACTTTAAGGCGTCTTAAACTTAAAGCAAAAAATAATAATTTAAACTCACATACTCTATGAGTGCAAAATTAAGTGTACAAGACTATTAAACCAAATGAAAGTTATTAAAATATAAATACTGAAAAATCAAGAACGTACTTTTTTGCTGATTCTGTGATTACGTTTGTCAGAGAGTATATTGTTTTGTCTATATCTACATTGTCATTTAAGTTTTGCAGTTGGTTTTCAACGTAATTTTGAAGTTCTGTCCAATTTGCGCCTTTTAAATTCCATTTTAATTGTTGCGGGGTAGTTGATTGTAGTTCATTGCTTATTATGATAGGGTAGTGATCACTATCATATAGATCTGGTAACACATTCCATGTAAGAGTATGTGTAATTGATGGTTCGTAAATACATAGGTCTACACTAGAGCCTTCACCTGTTTTTATATCAAAGCGCGTATGTTGTCCGTCGTTAAGAATATTTAGGTTGACTTCTATTATTTTTTCTATTTTTCGACCTACAGATGTTAGTTTTGCTGAACCCCATAACGGATTATGTGCATTGAAATCTTCAATAATTATCCGTGGAGCAGGTAGTTGGTTTAATAGATTTGAAATTTTTTTTGAATCGGGTTGTTTATTGGGGGAATGTAAATATTGCATATTGAAAAAGAAATTGTGTCTGTGACTCTAATTCCAATTGCTTCGATAGTTGTTGTGAGTTTTATTGGTTTAGCGTCAAAGCTATCTTTTAAGTAAATTGCTACCCATCTGTTTCAATTTTCGAATTGTCTCGATGTTTAAAAAACAATTGAAAGTCTTTAAGTCATGAGCTTTGTTGTTTTTAAAGTTGGTTTCTTGTAAACATATCAGACTAGGTTTATGTTTTATAATTAATAATTTTAACATTTTTAAATGGGTATAATATCCATTTATGTGCCAATAAATTAGAGAGTTGAAAATGATGTGTTATTAATTTTCTGTTGATGTGTCGCTTTCTGTTTGAAGTCTGTTTGAAGGTCTAAGTTGATTTGCTTTAATATTTTATTTTTTATTTGAGTGCATTTGACTTTAATTTTTCGGTCCTTTAGGTAAGGGTATATATATTAGTTAATAGACCTCTTCTGTTTTTTCTGTATACATTTAAGCGATACTTAACGGGTCTGGTGAGTTCTCACAGTTTTCAAAAAAGTCTAATAGCTGTTCGTAAGTTATAGGGTAGTTGGAATTTTGGTTCGCAAATAAAGTTTTACAGTATGTTAGCATTTCTTCAATTTTTTTTCGTGGTTTGACATTTTGATCTGATTTTACTTTCTTTTCTTTATTTTTGGGTGTAATGGAAGTAGGTTCCTCTGTAGATGTAGTAGCTGGTAGAGAGATTTAGGAGATTGTGCGTTTGTTTTGCGCTTTGCCTGTGTTTATATGCGTTGCCTTATTTTCTAGATCTATTTTTGGGTCGTCTGTTTTTTCTGTGTCTTCTTTGGTTGGTTGCATGTGTGGTTTTCTTATTGGGTAGTTTGTGTTTGGGATTCTAGTTGTGTGTTTTCTTCTTTTTATTGTTGTTGTTTAGTGTTTGCCTGGGGTTTTTGAGTTGATAGATTTATATAGATAGAGAGTTGTATTTTCAATTGTGTCTATATTTGGAACTGGATTATTTGATGTTGAATTATCTGTTGTAATCGCAGTAAACATTGGGCAATTTTTTGTTCTTTTTTGCCCAATTGTTAGAGAAATTCTTCTCTAACAATTGGGCAAGTGGTTGGTTTGTTTACATGTTTAACAAGCTTGGTTATCTAATGCAAGGAAAATCCTGTATGTCGTTTCCTCATGTGTGATAAGAAAAGAATCAGGTAAGGGCTGGTTATTTAGTGGAGATATGTATATTTGGCGTCTGAAACTCAAAATATGTGATTTTAATGCAGATATTAGGACTGAGTGAGATTGAGAGACAAACATTGGACAGTACTAATCGCTGACTGGGGCTAATTAGTCTACGAGCTTGTAAGGCTTCTGGTCTATTTGAATTTTTTCATTTCTGTTTATAAAATCCTGAGCTAGTTTTTCGTTTGCTAAATAAATACATACTCTATTATGTGATAATTGTAAACAGAAAATGATCTGGGTTGGTTGTAGCAGACGATTTAAAGCGGACAAGTAATCATCTTATGAAAATTTTATTAAAGCAATTAATCTACTGTTCCTTTTTGTACAATTACTTAATTACCACTCTGTATAAAATAATCCAAGATTTATCAGATAAACGACCAAAACGACCAAATCCGAATCGTCGCACTTCTACCTAAGTCCAAAAATCCATCACCCAATCCTAATAATTCATCAATTTTCCACCTCGTCATAGCCGGCGTGGCAAAAACTTTTTCCCAAAAATTAATCGAGGATAACTTATCCGATAACAACTTCTCTTTCACCAAAGTAGTCCGAATAATCGCCCGCTCCACCAACCAACCCACCTCCTGCATCAGAGTATTCACTAACTCTGAAACCAAGTTTGCTGAAGCGCTCTCGAGCAGTATTTTGATCGAGGGTAAACATCTAGCCTGTGAAATTCCACGATCAGGCAACTCCATTCCCGTTCGATCCAAGTATTGCTCGAGATGCTACAAAAGCGGATTTCAACACAGAATGTCCCGAAAAGTCAATAATTTGCCCGTTTTGCGGGCTCAGCCACCGGTCTACTGCCTGCCCCACTATATCAGCTCCCAAGTGTCCTAACTGTAGCGGCCCTCACCCTGCCTTCTCACCATGATGCCCTCACCGAAGCGCTCATCCCGCAAACTATAACCAAATCCAACCAGTACACACAGAGAAACAAATTCCTTCCTATGACCTATCCTCTGACATGAAATCCCTTATACATTTCACATCCATGCTCCTATTCAACATCTTCCCTGAAAAGAGAAGCGCAATAACCCTATTCCTTAACCAAATTTCAAACGCAATGTATGGATGTGCCATAGCCACTTCATGCACCAATAACCTAGTCAATCAAACCTTCACCTACCTACACATCTGAAAAATACACCACACACATCAACACACATTCATACACACTTAAACTACACTCATTTACAACACTTTACCTCCACCTCGCTCACAATACAAATTAACAAACACCTAATCCTATATCACAATTAATAAACACATAATCCAAATTAGTAAACATACAAAAAACTCCACAAACACACAACACATCACCACACTGTGAGCACCGTCTACACTCCTTAAGAGTCGATTAAATTTTCACAAGGACAGGGGGAGATTGGTTTTCTGTGGTTTCCCAATCTCATTGCACAATGATACCTGATCCTAGGTGAGAATATAGCCACAGCTATCCTCCTCGCGTTTTTCCAACAAACAAAACAATGGCCAATAGTCTGAAAGGAATCGTTTTTTCCACGGAACTTGTACTTCGTGACAGGCTTGGTATACTTGGCTAACTCTTCCGGAAGGGACGATTTCCGCCTCTTGCCTTCTTCTTGTTCTCGGTACCCATCCCATCCTTCTCCACCGCTTTTACTTTTTTTAGCGGCGGCGCCCTTAGTCTTCGGAGTCCAACCGAAGTCACATGAACGAGAACTGGCATTTTCAAACCAAACAAGCATAAGCACCCAGTAACAAACCCACCCTTGAAGAAGCATAGAGCTTAAAGCAAGGTTAAAACGCATTGATTGATTGATTGATCAGATAAAAACTTAAATTTAGACGTTTAACGAAAACCCTGACCTTTTTTTGCGATAAGGTAAATAGAATGAAGGGAAATATAGTACAGAGGCGTACTAAGTACTATTACATAAGAAATATGTTAGGAACGTATTATGATATGTAACAGGCTTAGTAATTATTTTTTGAAAGAATACATTTACCATTATAAAATGTTGCTAAAAAAAAATTAATTAGTCTTATTATTAATATTAATGTGTATTTTCAGGATGTAGCGTTTATTAACCCAGCGAACGTAGTCTTCGTCTACATGTTGGTCCGAGACTTGGTCAAATCAGACATAGAATGCGAGCAAGACCTTCAAGCCGTCGTCCTCACCTGCCTGTACCTTTCATACTCATACATGGGAAACGAAATTTCCTACCCCCTCAAGCCATTCCTGGTCGAAGACTCAAAAGAAAAATTCTGGGACAGATGCTTGGATATCGTCGACAGGCTGTCGTCAAACATGTTGCGAATCAACGCCGAGCCTGGTTACTTCACCGAAATCTTCACCGAATTAAAAGCTTGCGGTATTGGTAACATCGTAGCCAACAACATGGCCGCCATGGCCAGCCAGACCGTGCCCGTAGTGTCATGTAATTCAGGCGCGACAACGCCCGCTTGACGCAAAGAAGTAACTGTAGTGAAGTTAAGTTTGGCTGAAATGCCTACAGTACCGTGTGAAGTTTGAGTAACCTTTTGTATCTTCCAAAATGCTACTGTAGTTAGAGTGAATTTGACAAATCTGTCGTACAGAGGCCAAATCTTTAGGTAATGATTAGACTAAGATATCGAACTAGAGGTGAGAATGCCGGGTGAACTTTTACATTTCGATCTGCTGTTTGGTTTTAAAAACTATGTGATCTTAACTAGTATTAATGTTTTCGTTATTTAATGTTACTTTGATTGGTAAGACGCTCCTGGCTGTAAAATTTCACGTAGTATATTCTACTTGAACTAATAAAAAAAACAAGTTATACTTTGCAGAATGCCCATTGTAATATTATGTTAATAATAATAGGGTAACGACATAATTAGGTATTAGCGAGGATTAATGGTGTTACACAGTTTCTGTTATTTTTAGTTACAGCAATATCTTAAAGCCTACTAATAGTTTTAATATTTAAAAGCATTTACAAGAATCATTTTTGGAGTTTTGGCTAAATGTTGGTCAAATTTTGGCAAATAGTATACGCAGAGAAGACAGGTGTATGTAAAATGATGAAAGATTCGAAAGAATAATGTCAATCCAATCAAGAAAATGAAAATCCTTTGTATTTTACGATCAGAAGCATTCAACCAATAACCAGCCGCCAAAAATGTAGAACAAAACATTAAAAATCAGATGAGTTAATGGTCAATCATCATCATCACACAGCCAAATTTGTCCACTGTTGAACATAGGCCTCCTCAAGATGTCTCCACTCTTCTCTGTCCTGTGCAGCTGCGATCCAGTTTGTCACTATTCTATTCACTAATGTCGTCCGTCCATATGGTAGGTGGTCTTCCACGATTTCGCTTTTCTGCCCTTGGCCGCCATTCTAAAATCTTCTTTGTCCATCTGTTGTCTCTCTGTCTTGCGACGTGTCCTGACCATTTCCACTTCAACTTCGTAATCCGTTTGATGACGTCTTCCACTCCAGTTCTTCGCCGTATCTCATAATTTCGTATTCGGTCTCTCAAAGTTACGCCAAGCATAGATCTTTCCATTTTTCGTTGTGCTACTTGTAACTTTTGATTGATGCTTTAGTCAATGTCAGCTCCATAGTGTTTTAGCTCCATAAGTGAGCACCGGAAGTACGCACTGATTAAATGCTTTTCTCTTTAGCTTAATTGGGATGTTTTCCTTAAACACGTCTTTTAGCTTGCCATAGGCTGCCCATCCTAAAGCTATTCTTCTGGATAATTCGCATGTTTGGTTGTCTCTACTTATTTGTATTTCGTGACCCAGATATATGTATTTGTCAACCGTTTCAATATGCCAGTTTTCTAGTTTCAATGGTCCACTAAGTACTAAGTTGGTCATCATTTTAGTTTTCGCAAAGTTTATTTCAAGCCCTACTTTTTGGGAGACTCGTTGTAAATCTTGTAGCATTTCGTTGGCCTCCTTTAGGTTGTCGGTTATTAGAACTATGTCATCTGCAAATCGTAGGTGGTTCAGCCTTTCGCCATCGACACTCAAACCTCTGTTTTCCCATTCTAACATCTGGAATGCATGCTGCATTACGGCATTGAATAGTTTTGGTGACATGTTGTCTCCTTGTCTAACTCCCCTTTTTAGTTTTATTTTTTGAGTAGGGGTGTGGAGGTTTATTGCTGTTGTGGCATTTGCATATATATGTTGAACAATGCTGGTATATCGGTAGTCGATTCTACAATCTCTCAAAGCTCTTAAGATAGCTACCATCTCGATAGTGTCAAAGGCTTTTTTATAGTCAACAAATACTAGAACTAGTGGCCAGTTGTACTCTATAGTTTTTTTAATTAGGGCCTTTAGACAAGTTAGATGGTCATTTGTACCATACCCAGGGCGGAAACCTGCCTGTTCTCTTGGTTGGCATGTTTCTAGTTTGTTCTCAATTCTGGCAGTGATAATTCGAGCAAATAATTTATACAGGTGACTTAGAAGACTGATTGGCCTATAGTTTTTCGAGGTCTGTTTGATCTCCTTTCTTATGCATGAGGAGCGTTATAGAATTATTCCATTCAGCTGGTATTGCTTGGTTTTCTAAGCATATATTGAAGAGCTGCTTGATTGTCCTGATGAGAGCAGAGCCTCCGATTTTTAGCGCATCCGCCACTACTTTATCTTCTCCTGGTGCTTTTTTTTTTTCATTTTCTTTATAACATGGTAAATTTCAGCCGTTGATATGTCGGGAATATCTTCTGAACCTTGATTCATAATTTTTTGTTCTGTATGTTCTGTCGGGTTTAAGTCCAATTTATTTGTGTATAGTGTTTTATAGAAGTCTTCTACTATCTCTAGCATTTCGTCTCTGTTGGACGTTAGTTTGCCATTCTTTCCCTTAAGTCTGATGATTTCTTTTCTGCTGTTCGTCAATTTCCTTCTTAATATCTGCATGCTCTTGTTGTGCTCGATTGTCTGCTAGATTTTCTCATTTTTATATCCCCTTATGTCCTTTCTAATTGCTTTTAAGACCTCTTTGTTGATTTTATTTATGCTTTGTTGTTCTATACTCTTATCTTTTAGAATTTCTCTTCTTTCTTCCATTTTAAGTTTGGTGTTAGCAGTGATTCTCTCCTCTCTCTTGCTACCTGTACAACATTTTCTTTGAGCTTCTGCTATGGTATTAGTAATTACTTTATTTAGCTGATTTATATCATTTGTAGGGGGCCTGTTTTGTAGACGTACCGTTATTTGATCTGCAAACTCTGTTTCATTTTTTGATTGTGACCATCCTTTCAATTTTTTCTTTCTTATTAGTTTATTTCTCTCTTTATCGATGTTAATTTCTATTCTATCGCGGACCATTCTGTGATCACTTCCTGTTGTGAAGCTGTTGAGTACAGTTGAGTCAATCATAAACAAAATATAATGCGATGTGTAAAGAATATCCATCCCACCACTACAACATAACTAAACGTCCAATGACTATTACAGAAGTAACTATGATGGTGATAGTTTTGTTATGAATAAACAACTTTGCCATTTTTTTATTGTATATACATGTTAAACAATTTGCAGAATATCATAAAAGATAATAGTTTCGCAAAATATTTTGTTTGGTTTAAAAATCGTCTATGACTTCAATGTTTAAAAAATAATTTAACCGACGACATCTTTTATCAGAGGTTAAAGAAATCCTTTCACTATTAGAGAATACGCAAACTAATCTTAAACTAGCTAATCCTTCTTTAATAATTAAATTAGTATCCTTAATAATTAAAGTCTCAATAATTAAGTTTAATCTACCCTAAATCTCATGATAATAAGGAATGAATGGTAGTGAGATTTGGTTAAGGAAATTAAAATGTTTTGCATATAATTAAAAATATACAACAAAGTAGATTAAACAATTTAGATATCTGTGTATATTGTTAAATTATAATGAGTAAAATATTGTTTTCCTTGAAGTATGTAAAGGATTTCCTAATCTTTTGTCTTGCGGCTCCTCTCTAAATAAAAATATCACCCTAATACCCTATAATCTGTCTCGGGTTGGTTTATTTTTACATACAAACCAATTCACATGTTTTTAAGCTTCACAGTCTCGTTTTTCCGGCTTCGTTTGTCATTCAAAGTTTAGCCTTGACTTCATTTAAAATATTAACGCACAGATTTTAGGTATCTACTTTAATGTTAGGAAAATTACTAATAATTCGTCATTGATTTTAGTCAGTGTGGGGCATATTTTCCAAGCATATAATTATAATATGGCAACTTTTAACAGTTACTTTAAAAGTTAAAATGGACGTGATAAATGCCAATATCCGTAGGGTTAAGTGGGGCAATTTTGAGACATTATTTAAATATTTTAATTTTAGATGCCTAAACGGCAATACACTCAAAAGCGAAAAACATATTTATATGCAGATATATAAAACCTTCCCATATGGTCAATTTGCCAATAAAATATTAACTTTTTTAAAAATAGACATTTATATGTCTGATTTTTCACACTCATTAGGTACAACTACGAGACAATCTCTGGGCAAATTTAAGACATTTAACAGCTTAAGTCAGTCAAATTGGCTTTGGAAGAAAGTGAAATGGCATGGTACAACAATAATACACAATCTATATTACAAAATAGTTTTTTTTTATAAAAGAAAGAAACTAAAAGTAGGTATTATAGTAAACGAAACATTATTTTAATGGCAACGTCACAGGCTATTTTAACACACAGGCTGTCCACAATATGTCTTCTGCAATTTTTCACTCACGTGGTTCACAGAATTGACGATAAATTGGAGAGATTAATTGTTTCTGGAAACGTTCCGGGGAGAAGATCAAAAGGACGATCACTAACTAGATGGTCCGACCAAATTAAGAATTCAGCAGAAACTTATTCTGCAAAGCTCTCAAAGCGTCTAAAGATAGAGACCAATGGAGAAAAATTGTTAGGAATATTGAAGTAAAACACGATCCTCAGTAATGGGAAAACGACAAGAAAGAGAGTAGATAAAAAAATGAAGGTTTATTAAACATTATAAGAAGAAAGACCTATTTCAAATATTGATGACTTTTTCATGCGTTCTATCTAGCCATGAAAAGTCTGATTGGTATTAGTCATGAGAAGTCTAGATAAGAAAGAAATTATTGCTTCTTTATTTATTCCTTTATTCCATAATTTTCGTAACAAATCCGAAAACTCAGATTTCAAGTTTCTTTGATTTTGACGTTGCCAGTTAATTCATATTTCATTCCAATAAAGCTTTAATGGTCCAAAGCAGCATTTGTCCAAAGGTTGTAAAATATCCGTGGTGTACCTATGTTGAAAGTTTCAGTAAAGTTACATTTTCTGAGATTGCCCGTTTAATTACACTTTTGTCCAATGAGTAATGTGACCATCGATACTCATAATTAATGGTCTTTGGGACACTATTGCACAAAATTTTATAAACCACTGCTGGAAAATATTGGTAGTCATCCAAACTTTTTAG